TAGAAGTTGTTTCATACATGAAATTACATTTCTCCCCAGTTTACTAATATTTGAAGTTACGGAAGTGTTTATTTACATGGAGCAGAGAGGTTGTTATACAGCAACCACACCCTAAGAAGTTGCTTACACCCGTAGTAAGCACTGTGGGTTATGCCTCAGGGTTCTGGGTCTCAGAAGGAAATCTCCAGAGAAACTGTTAAACACAAAGGCCAATAATAAATACTATGTACACACAAGTATGGAGAATGACTTCTTGGATGGGGCAGGTCCCTATGTTTCACCCACTTTAGACTCACACAGCCTTTATTTGCTGCTTTGACTCTTTTAGACCATAAATCAGAGGCACCCTGGCAAAAATTGCATCAGCATAAATAGCTCCTCAGAAATTCAGGCAGCACCTTTATGGCTCTGCTGGAGACAAGACCTAATGCCCATCGTGTGGGCTAATTGTTCTTGTGATGCAATTACATTTGGAAATTGTTTGGCCTTCACCTGGTCAGCATTTTTGTTCCAAACAATCCTACTGACAGACCATCTGTGGCATTTCAGATAGTTTTCATTCATGTAGAATCGAGAGCTTTCTTGGTCTCTTTTCTAACACTGGCATATGTATTTCTATTTCCTATAAGTATCCACTCTTGTTTAGGGCTAATAAGTTGTTAACCACCCTTCCAAAAAACTCTAGTAGGCTTCCTAAGTACACACCATTTAGTTTCATCTTAGAAAAATAAACAGGACACCACACAGAGTGCTGCCATTCTTCTTGCTTACAAGATTTACATTTAAAATGCTTTTACTTGATCCTCCATGATCTTTTTAATAGCACAAATGCTTAAAAGATTAAATGCATTTGGGGGAACTTTAAATCCATAATTCTTAATGGCATATTTCAAAAAACTGAAAATGATACATATACTTAGCTTTAAATTTTCCTACAGAAATATAAGCCGACAGAAACATTACATTTCTGACCTATTTTAAAATATTTTCCTCTTTCTTCCACTCATTAATCATTATTAACTGTTGACCAAGTCGCATATTATCTCCCCTTATACAGTTAATCTTATTGCCTGAGGTGATCAGGGAGCATTTTATAACCGAAGTTCTCAGCAAATAATTTATTCCACTTTTCCATTACTTGGAAAGTAAAGTTTCAGAATAGTTCCTGAGACTAATACCTGAAGCATAGCACCTGACTTACTGGACAGAGGAGATAAGGTTTAATGCACTTATCTTCTTTCTAAAAGATCAGTTTGTCAATATTGATTGAACCCAATGTGCACGAAAGTATATATTAGGAGAGTGGAACTTCATCTGAACACTATTTTATTTCAAGTTTAAGCTAACTGAGACATGGGAGAATTTATGGCTTTTCCTACACCAGCATCATTAATTGGGAAGAATCCTTAATTACAATCTAACACATAATTAAATCCATTAACCTTGTAGATAAGTTAAAACAAGAAGGCCCACAGAAAGTAGAGTCTCCCTGAAACAGGTGATGACCCCATCCCGTCCCCAACCGTTCCATCTTCACCTGAAGCAAGGCAATCAAGGTGAATGTCCCGCTTCTGGTCATAAATTTCAGGACGCATCTGTTTTCTGTGGGGAATAGGAAATTAAGGCCATTTAATGACTCTGAAAGGTACCAAGCGAGAGGAGCAGAAGGGAAAGGACGTGGCGACCACTTCTGGGCACCTTCATCACTCAGCATGTCACCACGGGGTTAGGGGATCAACAACCTGGGGTCCCACAAACCACAACTTGCTGATACGGACACTGCAGTTCAGAGAGACTGAGTCTCGATTAAGGTTACTGTACAATTAACTGCTGGGGTCTGGCCACAGGTCAGACCGCTGGAAGCTACCAGGAGAAGAAAGTTCCAGAAGCTGCTGCTGCAGCAGTACTCATTCTCTTTTCAACCACAGAAAACCTGTTACTTTTTTTGTATTTTTCTCTTTGGCTGTTCACTAACATAACAACCACACTGAGTAAAACACGTGAGGTGGGGAGGAAGGAGGTGCATTTTCTCTCCGGTCCCTAAATTCCCTGAGGAATGACCTTCCCCCAACCTCCCTTTCTGGTGACCTTGGTGGAGCTCTTCTGAAGACATACAGCACCCTCTTGTTGTCTTTGTTCTTCATCCAGCCTACCACAGTAAGAGCGAAATGCACAGCGAAGCTTAATGCTATCCTCTTAAGAAACTGTGCTTTAAAAAAAAAACAAAAACAGGGACAGTGCCCTGATGAAAGCAAGTAAGTGGTGGCATTACAAACATCAGAGGTAGGCAGGGTGACTATGGCCTTGTCTGCAGTTCTAGAACTTAATTCAATCCAATTCAAGTAAGTGGAGGGGCAGGGTGTGACTTCGATCCCGTGGTCAGTCACTGAAGGGGCAGAGCCTGCACCATTGTCCCCTCCGGCAGGAGGGACCACGTGGCTGGTCAGGCTCTGAGAGCTCAGGGGCTGCAGAGAGAGAGCACACAGGGCTACCAAGACTGAGGAAGGCACTCTCCTCCCTAGCTCATCCATGGCTGCCACGCACTGCCTTCCTCCCTGAGTTATAGCCTCCCTTTAGGCCCACACGAGTATTTGCCTACAGCAAAGGACTCAAAAATTCTTCACAAATATAAATTTCCAGTAGAATGTAATGGGAAGGGAGTCAGGGAAAGGAGAGAGTTTAATTTCCCATGGACCTGCTGCTTCTTTTAGGCATCAGCCATGTGGCCTTCTGCTTATCTAAAAGAATTCCTCGGGCTAATAGGCAGCTGAATGGCCTCACCCACTGTCACCTTCTTGATTTATAATTTCTTTCAGCATTAAGTTTTCTGTGACAATGGAGGGCAAGGAGCAGAGCCAATGACCCAGAACAACAGATAACTCGAGTTATTATTATGTTTTAGCTATTGTTGTTTTACATGCTCTGCCCCCACTGATTTCCTTCCCAAAATCTCTTCCGCTTAGCCCTAAGGGCCCCAAACTTGAACAGGCACCAAATTCTCTGGGAGAGGGTATTCAAGTGGCCTGAACGCATATTGTGTGTTGAGGAAAACCAATCTGCTTTGTGCCATTTATCACGAATAACTGGCAAGCGGACATTCAAGAGTTTGTGCTTAGAATTTACTGAGTTCACAAATGTGCTAAGTACTATACTGAAATGACAAAGACAGGATCCCTGCCCTTTGCTTCTATATATGCCTTTCGCTCCGAGGGGTTTCAAGGGGGCATCCCCGAGGAAACCTTCTCCTGACCTATAATTTACACATCCCTCTGGTCAGATTAGAGCAGAAAAGGGAAGGCTGGACTACAAGGGCAGTGAGTAGACCCAGAAGGAACCTGACAACCACGTGGTATCTGAGATTCTAGTACTGAGTAGCTAGAAATGATACTCTCAACAATAAAAATCATCGGCAAGAAAAACAGAGAATTTAAACAAAAGGTAAAGAGCATCATATTAGCCATGGTCATCTGCTCGATTTAGATAGACATTTCAGTTGAAGAATGAGTATCTGAGAAGGATGGGAGAGATTTGGGGTTAAAAAGGCAGTCTAACCCTTGCTATTTATACATGAAAGGAACAGCATGGCAAGGAAATGAGCTTTTCCTGCAGAACTGAGAGGAAAACAGAGCCCACTGTCAGAAGAGAGAGAAGGGGAAAAAAAGACAAAAACAAAACATGATACAATACATAACATAAAATTAGTCATAATGCTATTTTTTTTCCTTCTGACAAAACTAGGGTTTCATTTCTGCTAATAGGAGCCTCCACAGAAAAGAGGTATCTTTTCTAGAAAAAAAAAAAGGTTCATGAAGATGTTCAGAGTGGTCAGGATGGTTAATCCAATGGCTGTGGAAGTGGATTCTTACCCACTGAAGCTATTTAATCCAGAAACTTTCATTAGATACCTACTTTCATTTCCTAATATGCCTCTCAAACAGCATCAGTTCAGGCTGCTACAAGACTGGGTATTTGGGCTGAAAATGATTATTACATCGTCTTGTCAGCTGGGAATGTCACTGGGAGGTTTAGCCACCACCCTTCCTGAATGAGATGCACTTCAGTGTAGTTCAAAGCGACCCCAATGGAGGGCAACAAAAGGGCTTTTAACCTAATACCTTCTATTTCATTCCATGACTATCCCCTTTTTTCATTCACAAGTGTTTTATGTATTATGTTGTCTTCCTTTCTCCTCTATGGTTATGAAAAAGAATTTGAATTTTGTGAAATTAAGTAGCAGTTAATCCATCTACCATGAACTTCAAAAAAACCCATTTTACTGAGGAGAGGTCCTTTCCTGTATACTGGTGGAAGGATAAAGATGGCCCTTTCAGAACAACGCACCGAGACTTTCCACTCCACTTCCAGAATCCTCCTCAGAGAAGCTTCCCTACATGCGCTCAAAGAGATCCAGAGAGGGACAATCAAGGGCACATTTCCATAACAGTGAAAAAAATGTGCAACAATTTAATTATGCATCAAAAATTGAATAGATAAATTATGGCATAAGACAGAAAACTACTAAGCAATAAAACAAATATAACAGATATACAATATGTAAACAACATGGACATTCCTCAAAAATGTAAGTCTGCATGAACCAAACTGTAGAATGAAACTCTATCATAGAGTATGATATCATAAATGCAAATTTAAAAACATAAAATAATCCACTACTGTATGTTATTAATATACATAAATGTAAGAAAAGTATCCAGACATGAACAGTAGTCTCAAAATTCACAATGAGAGGTACCTGCGAGGAAGTAGGGAAGGCATATTTTGTCTTTTATTAAAAAAGAAAAAAGGAAGTAAAGCATATGTGGCAAAGCTTAATGGCTATTAATACTTTCAGGTAGATATATGGGTTCTTATGTTATTTCCCTGCAGCTTTCTGAATGTTACATAGATTTTTTAAAATAGTTTACCTTTGATTACCATTTATTTAAAAGTCATACATTTTCTTAAACTCATTCAATTGCCCATTTACTCAACAAATATTTGCTGAATGTGTCATTAACCCTGGGATATGAAGAAAAGATCCTTGCCCTTGTAAGGCCCACATGAGTGGACTAATTCCTATTTAGGAATCTTGTCACGTTCTGCAATGTAATTCTCTGTATAAAGTAAGGAAGGACTTCCGTTAGGTTTGAAATTGCCCAAGAGTAAGTGCAGTGTGCTTATTTACAGGACAGCATACTACTAAAGTTCCAAAAATATAATTGTCAATATTTGCCTTTAACTATCTTCTTGCCAAGAGTTTTTGAAAGGGCATTAAAGCAAATGAGTTTTGAAGATGTTCCAAAGTGAGTTATTATCAAACAGACGATTATAATGACAAAAAGTCAAATAAGTTAGTCTTTCTTTGAAAGTTTTCCAAAGAGACAGATTAACTGGCCAACCTGTCACTACTAATGACAACAGCAGGTGATAGAGTGAAACCTGAATTTGGCAGTCACTACAACACCACCATAGCACTTCCAACATTTCATAGCTCAATTCTGTAGAAATCCAAGATTAAAAATATTGTCTATCCTGTTTTTCTCTAAGGTAGCTGTATATAGTTTCTGCACAACAAATATACATTACAAATATACTGAAAAAATCAGGGCTCAATATTGTTGGCTAACTCCCAAAGTTACTGCAACTGACCAACTCAATCCTACATGTTTCATTCAGCTTTTTTATTTGATAAAGATGAGAAAGGCACCACTCTCAGTCATCACCTGTCAGCCCCCAGGCCTGCCGTCAGGCTACCCTGGCTACTATTTACTTCAAAGAGAGGCCAGGTCTGAGGGTGTGAAAAAGTCAGACACTAACCAGATCACAGCCATATCAGGAATAAGGAATCCCGATGTGGAATCATCAAAAAAGGCTTGGCTCAGAAACCAAGAGTGAGGACGGTGGGGAAGAATTCTCTCCTCTCTCTAATGCCCTCTCCTGAGAATACTTATCAATCATCAAAGTTCACGGTATAGTCTGTAAGATTAGGAGGCCAGTTCAGATTACCCAAGCTTATTATGGCTGGGTCTGATCAACCAGTAGGGACCAAGAAGCCAGGTAAATAAATTGGGCTTAGTAGGGTTACAGGTATGTATACAAACACACACACACACACACACACTTCTGAATTTCAATCTTTACCTAGTAATTATGAATGTCACCTAGCTTCCATAGAACCTCCCTCTCTGGGTTGTAACACTGATCAGAAAAGTTTTTTTTTAGCTTAACGTGTATTCATGTATTATTATCATATGGTATATATATACTCGAAGTGTTTTATTATAATTTTGTTGCAATTATTGCCACCCCAAGTGGTTTAGATGTCTGTCAATCATACCTATAAAAAAAGAAGTTTCTAAAATCATTTTCTTTTAGGACATTAAAGTTACTCAATAAATTATATCTTAAGTTCCAGAGATTCTCAGAATGTAGCTAAAGGTAAATACAAAATAGTGTTTGCTTTCAACTGATGCTTTACCAAATCCTAAAGAGGAAGAAACTCAAAAGTAGTCATCCATGTAAAAATGAGACACCAAAGCAGATACCAGGCTAATTTTAAGATTTTTAGGTTTGAGAATTGGATCAGCAAGGCCTCAGCTTTTGTTTTTAACTGAGGTAAAAGTACACATTTCTCAACTGTTAACACAGTAACCAAAACCAGTAAGTATACAACACACACACATACACACACACACACACACACACACACACACACACACACCCCTCAAAATGGAAGCCCAAATTTCATTTAACTATACCTGAGATGCAGTCCGATGCAGCATCTGTTTTAGCTCAATTCTGTATGTGCGTTCAATCTTTATTGTAGATAAATCACTTAAGAAAGCCTAAGAGAAGCTAAAACAAACAAACAAAAACTCGGTGAAGCTCAGACCTCAGATGAAGCACTGAGATAGAATGAAATAGTCTGGCTTTTTGCAGTCTGACACAGGTGTCAAAGACTGGTGCAACTCCTTACCTGCTTTATGGCCTTGGGCAGGTGCTTGGCCTCCATGAACCTCAGTCTCCTCTTATGTAAAATAGGATAATAATAATTATCTGCCACAGGCTGCTATGAGGATTATATAAAATAATTTCATAAAGTACCTGATGATAGTAGGCAATAAATATATGTTAATTCTCTTCCTCCTGCCTCTTTTCCCAAAGAAGAAGAGAATCACCTGGGGACAGAAGCATTAAGAGAATGTTGGCAACATTCATGAAGGAGAGAAATAAATAGTCTGTTGACAAGTGGAGATTGTAATTCAGGAGGGCATTCTGGTATGCACATGTGAGAGCAAAGAAATGGTGAGGACTAATTGCTATGAGAAAAGCAAAGGGATGCAGCTGACCAGCAAGTTCGTAAAGTAGAAGTGTGGCCAGTAAGGAAAAGACGGGGTATTCAGTGAGAGCTAATGGAAAGAATCGGGACTTCTGACTAAATGCCACTTGGACTCCTGATCGTATCACCTGAGTGACATCTTCCAGTGAACCTTAGGCAGAGCAAAGAACCATGATGAATTAACTATAGTGGGACCTTGTTTCCCAAACCCCAAACAGGCTTAGCAGAATTAACACTGCTAAGACATCAGGTGTCCTCCAGATTGGCTCACACCTTCAGACCCACAAGGGCATCATAACCATCTTCTATACAAAATAAGCTTTTTGGCCCCATGGGCAGCCCAATCCACAGAAGCTGTCTGGGCTTTCAAATGCCATGGATCAGCTGGATAACTGCATCCTCAAAGTACTGTCTTTCATCACATTTAAGATACCATCAACAATAGAAGACACCATTATTTTATGTACCACTTAGAAATAAGAGATGCTCCAAAATGAGGACTCGGATAGAAGAGCGCCACAGACAACCGGGACACCAGAAGGTCACATTCTCTGGGGAAAGGCAAATAAGAAGTCAACCTACCATGCTGAAAGAGACAGGGAGGAGATGTGCATGTCTCAAGCTCGTGACTGGGTGAAGACAAGAAAAAAAAAATCTCTGCTGAGAGTTTGAACTATCAGCTGGTACTACACCCACACAACCAGTGTGGCACAAGAAAACCTCAAGCAGAGAATTTAAATTCAAATGCTTTCAGATTGAGAGTGTCCCCATGTGGCTATCACAAGTAAACACAAATCCAGAAATCCCCTCCGGAAGAACTAGACTTGAATCTAGGCTGACAACCCCTCAAACATGCCATCAACTACACAATGCACTCCGATTTCAGGGAGGTGAAAGTATGGGGGGGGGGCGGGGGAGGGAGGGAAATGTGTGCATCTGGAATTTTTAAAATGCAGTATCTATTTTCTTAAAAAGAATAAGATGATGCTATATATGGATCTGGGTCACTCCTCAGGTGTTTATTAGTATGTATCCACTATGCGCATAACAGATTTCAAAGCAATTGAAGCATGACCTTGCTCACAAGCAGCTAACTAACAATCTCTCTGGGAACAGAAATTCATGTTTCTATCTGATTTACTTTTGGATTATTATGATTATAGTACTTTCACGAAATGGTTAGAGGGGTAAATGCACACCCCCTCATCCTGGGTCTGCTTTTTTACGGTCTAGCATTGAAAAGGTATCTATATAAAATCAGTTCTAATGGAAGTAAACTTATTTTCATTCCTCCAATTTCAGCAAAATTCGATAAACAGCAAAGTACTTTATGATTACTTTGGTTAGCTTTCGCTTGAAACAACAGTATTATGCCCAGCATGTAGGAGATGCAATTTTGATCATTTGGTTAAAATCTGTAGCATAAGTAAATATGATTAACTTCTATATTGGGCAGGTAAGTTTGAAGGAACTTCATCCTCAAGGTTTTTTTTTTTTTACAATTTTATTTACTTCACAGAGAGAGAAAGAGAGAGATAGCAAGAGACAGAGAGCACAAGCAGGGGGAGAGGCAGGCAGAGGGAGAGGGAGAAGCGGACTCCCTGCTGAGCGAGGAGCCCGGCGCAGGACTCAATCCCAGGACCCTGGGATCATGACCTGAGCAGAAGGCAGACACTTAACCGACTGAACCACCCGGTGCTCCAAGGCTTTTTTTTTTAAACTGTAATGTTAGAAATCATTAGAGCAACTTTTATTCATTAATCAGCTTTGAAAGGGAACGTCTAATTTACTGGGCAAGAGAGATCCGAACTCTTGCATACAAAGAGGTAGCAGGGCTAGCTTAGTAACAACTCCCTGAAAAACTGTAAGCATCTGTCCTTACCCGTGACAGAGTTAGTATTTACCAGTGCTGGGGTTATCACAGGTACAAATGCCAAAACCCAGCCCCAAGGGACCCTTACACAAAAGGTCTCTGTTATCTGATGCCACTTCTTGGGAAATGTTCGGTTATCACCGCCTGAAGGAATACAGGTTTCTCCTCCAAAGACAGTCACTTGGTTTCACGCTTTGGTACTTTTCTTATAATGCCTTCAATCCCCACTCTGAGTCCCCATCACTGCATGTTCAGAAAAATCATTTAAACCAGACAAAATGCCTGACTTGGTAACTGCTCACAGGCAAACATGAAGACTCCCAGAGAATAAACTATATACAAATTATATACATTCTAGATACATACTCTCCCATTGCACCTGGGCTAGCTCACACTAGATCATTTCAACGCTCTTCTCCAAGTGCACCCCACTCTCAACCTTAGCTGAAACAGACACCTCTGTCTGCCTCCTGGGACATGAAGGACCCAAAAGTTCTTGCCTGGGTCTGGTCCTCATCCACTGGGTCCTTGCTGCCACCACAGTCCTGACTCCCAAGTCTTCTTAGACTCTGCCCATACAGGTGCCGTGGCCCCTGACGGCAACTCAGGGCTGCAAGGTTTTGAAGGCTTCAGGTGTTTTCTACACTTGTCATTCTGCTAGTAGGTTCTAGCTTCTTTACAGTTGGACAACACTCTGCCAGAATCACTACCCAAAAGTTTCTAGTTGCCCATGTTGGTACCTCCCCCCACCCCCACCGGAGACCATTTTTCCTCAGGGAGTCAGTAATCTCAGCATTTCAATCCTGACTGGTGGTCTCTCAGGTCTTTCTGGTATCCCTATAGATCTCTCTTTGCCACAGACTTATGCAAACAACTTGAAAATTATTCTGGGGAAGCACTGAAAGAATTGTCACAAGACAAGATATATAATTATAGGAGATACACATTCAGGAATGTAACTCCATAAATGAGTTAAAAAAAAAGAGAGATTTCAAAAAATAAAGTTAAGGAAACAAAAAGCTGACCTCATAGTGAATAGATAAAACAGTGAAAAGTAGGGAGGAGGGCGGGGTTATAAATTTCTGAAAGGAGGAATGAAAAAGAAAATTCTCTCTTTTTTAAAGATTTTATTTATTTATTTGAGAGAGAGAGAGAAAGCGAACATGAACAGGGAGAGAGGGAGAAGCAGGCTTCCCGCTGAGCAGGGAGCCCGATGCCAGGCTTGATCCCAGGACCCTGGGTTCATGACCTCAGCTGAAATCAGATGCTTAACCACCTGAGCCACCCAGGTGCTCCAAGAAGATTCTTAATAGAAGATGCTCAACCTGCACTGGCAGCATCTGAAGCCTAATGCAGAGAACTATGATTTTCACTGAATGTGGGGCTCTTGAACCAAGATGGTAAGACTGTGCAGATATATTTTTAAATCCATGAGGCTGCTGGGCAGGTGTAGATGTAAAAGAAAAACAAAAACAAATCCAAGCTGGTGTTCTGCTTGGAATAGCTCCACATCACACTCCCCAAATATTATTCTGTACACCCAATTTATTTTTACTTTCTGGCATATATTAACTACATTATAGATTTTTTTCAATTGTCAATATAAAACAGCATCATTATTCATTTCCTACAGTGCCTTGTATATAGGTATTTTCTTGATTATATGAAAAGGGACAATATTTATAGATTAAATTTGCTCTATTCATCAACCACATTAATATGTTGTTCTCTTCCCTTTTTTATAGTTTAACGTTAAGATATATTCATACTTAACTACTATATGTTATATTTTAACAATACGGATTTGCATACATACATCTACATATAAATTCCTTGGAACAGCGCCTGACACACAGCAAATATTCAATAAATGTTAGCTGTAATAACTAGCATTATTATTTTTGTTATTGTTGTTAAAAACAATTTACCTTACTATAATGAATTCTAATTATTTCATAGCTTATACCTGCTAGGAAATTCCAACACTGTACAGAATGGATTTACACAGTACTTGAGTTTATAAAGTGGATTTCAAATTCAAGTAATTAATGGAAAAATGTAGAGTCACTTTGGCTAGATATATTTTGTACACATTGCAGGCACATTTGATTTTATACTTAAATAATTTTGTGATCAGTAGTGAAAAGAGATGTTCAACACTAATTTTCTTTGAAGAATATAGACGGTACCTCAGCTAGGGGTTTCCAAGAAATCTTTGACAAGATTCCCAGAGAATCAACTTTAAAATACTTACAAAGCCTTATTATGCTTAGAGTTACCCTCACCTTCAACCCATCCTTCATGCATCTGCTAAATTAATCTCCCTAAAATGTTGTTATTCTTCAGCTTAAAAACGTTAATGGCTTCCATTGCCCAAAGGGTAAGAGTAAGAACTTTTCACTTGCTTCATCTTCCTACGTAGTTTGCCAGACTGAATGCACACTGCTCCTCCATTCACCTCAAACATACCAAGGCTTTTCTGCCACCGACCCCACTCGTCATGATCATTATTTCTTTCAAGGCTGAGCACAAATATTTCCCCATCCACAGAACCTTTTTGATCTCCCCTAGAGAGAAGTGAGCTCTCTTTCTCCAGTTTTCCATAGACCATTCTCCTCATACCATCACGGCCCTCATCTTGGGTTGTTAATGGCCATTAATTATGTAGTATTTCCTCTAGTTATGCTGCACTCTCTCCAAGAGTGGGGATATGTCCGACCTTTGAATCCTCCATATGCCTAGTTAAAAATATGCGTGCAAAGAACATTATTATGGAAGGATGTGTAACAAGAAACCAACATAAAAATCATGATCTAAGTTCCTTGAAGTTACTGTAAGTTCTAAGAATGGTCTCTCTCAGACTAATGTCTAGCTTAACTTAACATTTCTATATAGCATTTAAAAGAAGCAGTACATATTGAAACACCCACATCTACATACAACTCTCTACTCTTTTATCACACTGACACACTGAGCTGATGAGGATGAGCTGTGGCAAAGTGGGTCAAAGAGGTGACAGATGATCTTCAGTACCTATAAGAATGAGACTAAAGTAAAGTAGACATCCCACTAAACTATGAGTTACAACTGGAACAATGTTTGGAAGTCATTTTGGACTACCTGAAAAGCAGATGCCCAACATGAACCATAACCCAAAAAAGCAATTAACATGGGGCATGGAGAATTATTTATTGGAAATAAAAATCGAAAACCTAATGTTAGTATGTACAAAACTCAGGTGCATCTGGGATGCTACAGGAAGTTGTAATTATTGCCCTTCCAACAAAATGAAAAACAACTAATATGATTCAAAGAATAGAGATATTTCCATGCAAGTATAATCTTAAAATTAGGACTCTTCAGTCTGGAAACGTATTAAAGGGGATATTTTTAAAGTTCATAAATTCATAACCAAACTTCCTCCTTAAATCATGGAAAATCAGGAGTGGAGGAAACTTTTGAAATGTTATTTTCTTGGGGGAAAAAAATGCCGATAGTACTTCAGAAATGTGTGTGGATCACATTGCTTTCAGTGTCCCAAACACATAAACAGGTCCAAGAATGGTCTAGCCACACTCACAGATGATAGATCCATTGGTTATTTAAGGGATATTTGGGGCATTTGGTTGACCTCGTCCAACTGTCAACTAATACTCCCCAAAGTTCTTCCCTTATTTCCCAAAAGGAAGGTCAAAATCATGTTTGGAAAATCCTTGGTCTAACTCAATATAACCTTTCATATATTCTAATTATAAATGGAAGCTCACCAAGTTATTTTCAGAAGTCAGTAGAAGGATTTATACTATAAGAGAAAGTAAAGGACTATAAAGAAAGTTGTCTGTATTGACAGCTCCAAACTCAGTTTAGCCTGAGGCCAGGGGTAAGGGGAGGCAACCATTTAATTTTTTATTGAAAAATCATACTTCAGATAACTTTTAATTTTTTGAAGTGCTCTAAAACTCAGCCATTCAAATATCATGATGCAAACCTTTCACAGATCAGGTTGACAGTGTTTTTCTGAAAAAAGACTGAAATTTTTACTGAAAAAAATCTTTTGGCTGTATAACAGGTCCACTTTCTGTCAAGCAGTTCAAACCTCTCTAGAAATGTGCTTGACAAATTCTCAAATTTTAGACAACAGACTAGAAAGAGGAGGTAAAAACAGCTGTAACCACTGGCCTACACTGAATTCAAGCCTTCCTCTCAGTATGGAGTTATGTGATCTTGCTATGCTTTATTTTCATGTTGATGTAAACTAATTTTCATTATTATAAAGCCAAACATCCCTGGGAAACTGACAGGAAAAAAAATATTACAGAGAAAACCCAGTATGTGTATTAAATATACACAGTTATATTATTAAAGCACAGAACTATAAGTCACTTAAATATTTCCCCTTTCAAAACAAAAAAAAAAAAGATTGCTTCAGTTACGTATCTTTGCCTCTTGTTGCCATCAGTACTGAAGGATCTACCCTTCAGGTATTGGCTATAACTACTAGATTAGCCTAATCGAACTTTAATAAACATGATGGGGATTTAACACTTAGTCTGTGTTTGGTTTCATTTTAATCTATGATAATCTCTTGCCTCATTGCATTTGCTATTTTTAGTAAATGTCTGAAAAAGGGAACCAGGAAGTGTATTTTGTACTAATTTCTAGTGTAAAGTTATTTTCAAACAAATAAAATTCACTTTGTAATAAATTTAAACACAATCTCCCTTGTTTATATAAGCTTACATAAAAGTCCAAAGAGCTGAATGCTTAGGCTCAGTTGCAAACAAAATAAAAGTATTAAATTCTTTGACAGTCAAAGAAATAATTCTCATTCAGTGATCCCTTTATTATTGCTATCTTTAGTTTCCATGGGGGTTTGTGCGAATCAAATCAAATCAAATCCCACATGCACTTAGATAGAATTACAAATGAATGTTCTCCATTCCTGTTTAGGTGAAGAGTTCCAAGAATGACTATCATGTGAGTATAATGGCGGTCTTTTAGCAGTCCTGACATAAAAGGGCTGTTCAACTGTGTTGTTTAATTGTATACATTCCAATGCTAGGCAACTCTCCAAACCTTATTGTAAACATTGTATAAGGCCTGTAAGTTCAGGAAAATAATGGAGAGTTCAGGCTTTTTACAGTTAACTCCAAGTGACAGTTGACTTCTCCTTAGAATTTTATATATTGTTTACCATGATTAGTGCAGATTGCTTTGTCACATAAAACAAGCTGACATTTGGAAGCTCAGACTCATGTTATGCTCTAAGGGTGTCATTTTTTTCTCCATGAAACTGCCTTGGTACAGTGTTCTGTTTCCATGTCTATAGAAAAAGGTAATCTATTGCAAACTGATGCACAGTTATGTTAAGGTTAGTAATACAACAGAATATAATAGAAATATGTAATCAGTAGCTATATTTAGCAGGTATTAAGTATCCTGGTTATTATGTTACAGCAACAGAGAAATTTTAATTTGATGGAAATTATACTTTAACTGTAGTTCTAGGCAAAAATTCATGTTTTTGTACACTCTTGCAGGAGTCACTAGTTTCTGGTCACTGGTGGGATGATTAAGGAGGAAAAAAAGGCAGAGAACCACAGGATAAAAGGTAGTACATTTCTACCCTTTCGTTTTATAAGAATGAGGCTCATTTACTGTTCAAAGGACATTGTTTATACATTCCAGACTTCCATCTTATAATTGCTCCAGGATTTGTAAAAAGGAAATCTCAGCAGGGCAGCAAAATTTATTCAAAGCAATAGCTGCACATAATTGGTATAAAATACCAGAACAGTCTGCTCTGAAAACTCTTTTCTCAGCAACACAGATTTCCACTCCCTCAACTCTCTTTCCATATTCAAACAAAGTTTGCCTTCTTCTCTTCCACTACTTGAACGGTTCCTTCCCCTGCCAGGCTAACATATTTTTTTAAAAGGTCCTATGAAGAATTTTCAACACAAATTATATGGGAAACTTTGACGCCCATTTAGTTTTGTTAGTGTTTACCTGGTTACCATGGCAACAGATAAGTAGGATGAACCCTGTTGTGGAAGAAAAGTCAGTTCTAGGTTTCGTATTTTCACAGAATGTTGTAAGTTTGTTATGTGTTTGGTTTTTTTAAAAGATTTTTTATTTATTTATTAGACAGAGAGAGACACAGCGAGAGAGGAAACAAAAGCAGGGGGAGTGGGAGAGGGAGAAGCAGGCTTCCTGTTGAGCAGGGAGCCCGATGTGGGACTCGATCCCAGGACCCCGGGATCATGACCTGAGCTGAAGGCAGACGCCTAACGACTGAGCCACCCAGGCGCCCCCGTTATGTGTTTTATCACACATAAAAATGAGTAAAAATTTCATTGTTGTGTTAGTATCATGTCAAGAAATCCACTAAATGAACAAAAAGAGGGAAGCTTAAGTCTGAATATTATTATACAAACTTAAGAATAAAGGAAGGCGAGTCACAAAATGTGACAGACCCCATACCTTACAATCACAACCTTTCTCTAGCACACTGTGTTCCAGAGTGTTAGCTGGGCTTCTGACGAAATGACTTCAAAAGTGATATGGAAAGAAGCAAAATCAACTGCTTCTTCCTATTTAAAGTGCCATTTTCATTTTAAAAGTTATTTCAACAAGTTCTTTCTGTGTGTTAACAAACAAGCTTACCAGAGCTTTGCTAATTTAATATCACTTTAAAATGCCATTAGATAGGATTTTAGCAGATGTTTCTTTACAGACATGAAGGGGGATTTGTGGATGATTTTCTTGTTGTTCTTTTTGGAAAAGAAACAAATCTTCATGAAACTGGAAACATCACCTCCCAATATTAAGGATTAAAAAATGTTCTTGAGTGGTGATGGTTGCACAGCAAGGAGAATGTACTTAATGCCACGGAACTGTACACTTAAAAATAGTTAAAACAGTAAATGCTATGTTATGTGTATGTTACCACAGTAAACAAAACAGAAACACTCTTGAGTCATTTTCAAAATCTGTCATATTGAACTTAGAACTTGTTCCTTTTAAAAGGCACAGTCTCACACATAATCTTTATGTCCTATTTAAGACAGGTCAAAGAGAGTATAATGTGGAAAAAGGTAGGCAAAAGGTAGGCTTGAGTAGAATGAGAATAATAAGAAAACAGATATCCACGAATTTGATACCCTGAGAAGCACTTTCAGCTCTATTACAGGTAATATATTATACTATGATGTGATAATCTGCTTTTCCTTATGAAATAATTATGAGCTTCAAGTGATTCTTTTTTTCAGATGAACTCCAAGAGAACTCTCAGATCAGACTGAGGCATTTTATCGTAAAGCTGAACACACACACACGTACACGCACACATATATGTAATACATACACATACACACATACATATATCCCATAAACTCAACAAAATAAACAAAAAAATGAATGAAGCTACTACATATCAAAATCTGGAAGATACATATGCCTTTGATATATTATCAGTCATATATTCTTCTAGCTGTGTACATATTAATTTCCTATCTTCACTCTTTGAATATCTTCTTTGTAACCAATTCCCTTCGCATGGAAGCAACTAGTATGGTAATTAAGGATCAAATATCCAGAATAACTCATCATGGAAATAAATGCATTGTTTTTTTAATTGAAGTAGACATCTTAATGATAAGAAACCTGGACACGGTAGTCATTTGGGAGTCTGCTTCTCCCTCTGACCCTCCCCCCTCTCATGTGCTCTCTCTCCGTCTCTCATTGTCGCTCTCTCAAATAAATAAATAAAATCTGAAAAAATAAAAAATAAAATAAAATAGAATAGAATTCAGTCTAAATAAAGATAACCAAAACTTGTAAAGCATATCCTATGTAACAGGAAGGGTTCTTGTATTTTTTTGCTTTGCTTTTATTATCCAAAGCCTTAGGACCTGCTCTACCTTAGTTGCTTTCAATTTCTTCTCTTTACATTCCGGTGACCAGTATTTATAAGGCTCCTACATATGGAGGATAGTAATCTGAAAATCTGAAAATGCTACACCCAACTTCTTACTTCAAAATGGATTTCATACAGGAATTAAATTGGGTTGTGCATATTTACCTAACAATTTGTTACAACTGCAGAGTCCAATATGAGAGCCACTAGCCACATGTAGCTAAAAATGTTAAATTCAGTTGCTCCGTTGCACTAGCCATATTTCAAGTGCCTAATAGCCCCCACGGGGCCAGTGGCCACTGTATCACAGCGTAGACACTGAACATTTCTACCATCTCTGAAAGTTGTACCGGACAGGGATGCCCTACAGGATTGCTCTAAAAAGCGAGCTTCCCAAATTTACTTGAAATGAGGTATTTTGAATTACCTTTTAATGCCACTTCAAATGTTTCACTGCTTTCAGCATCTATCTGTTACGTAAGGCAAGGTACAACTGCACTAGCAGCTAATTTCTTAGAAAGTTATCAACTGTTGATAACAGTGATGTGATACTATGTGATACCACTGACAGGCCTGGCAAAATGCTTTTTGCATTCCACAAAATGCAATCCACTATATGGATTATATCCTACTATGTGGATAATAAGATAAGTATTGCTTATCTTATTCGAGTAATAATGCAGATTTTTAAGAAGGCTAAGTAAGTAGCAGTGTTAACTAAAAGAAACAAAACTGGGGCGCCTGGGTGGCTCAGTCAGTCAGGCAACCACCTCTTGATTTTGGCTTAGGTCCTAATCTCAGGGTCGTGAGGTCAAGTGCTTAGGGCTCCACGCTCAGCGGCGAGTCTGCTTAAGAGATTCTGTCCCTTGAGAACTCACACACACCTTCTCTCTCTAAAAATAAATAAATAAATCTTAAAAAAAAACAAAACAGAAAAGAAACAAAACCATCCGTTAAGAAAAGTAGTAAGCAGCCATTCATTTACCCAACAAGTCTTTAAGGAACCCCACCCTCTGTTTTTCCACCCTATTCTGTGCCCTGGGAGGCTGACCTACAATGACCTATGCATCAAAGGAATCCTCCTCCCTCCAGGTTCCTACTGGTTCCAAAAGAAGGCACAGGCAGGAGATCCCTCTGTGGGAAGAGTGAGGGATACCTGCCTAACATGGGTTGCCCTTGGTCCTCGGCTGAAGGTCACTGCTCCTCTCTGGCAGTCCTCTTCGCAGGGCTACCCCCTAAGTTCCAATAACGGCTCCCAACCTAGCCCTTCAGACCCTGCTTAGCAAAGGTAGGTGCCCAGCTTTTGCTGACCTCAGAATATGTCATTACCCCTTTCTGGTTTCGCTAATTTCTGCCAACACATTTGTAAATATTCTTATTGATTCAACATCCTTTAATTACCAAGTTTAAGTATATGTTAAGTACATACCGTATGTTTCCTGCCAGAACCTTGATAAATATAATCACACACCCTTCCACACAGTTCTAGGCCCTTAGAGACCTCCAGCTAATCCTAGGAAAATATATTTCTTAGAAATGTAACCCTTTTAAAAAATTAAAGTGCTTTTCAATAATAATGCCCCAACCATATGTTATTTAAAAAACGACACTGATCAAGTAGAGACTGTATTTTAACGGGCCTCCCATTTCTATACACACGATATTCGCCGTATCTAACTTAAGGCAGTCATTGAGTATTTTGTTTCTATACTTCATGAAGTGCTTATGTGACAAATGACAGACCAGCTTGATAGTAGAAATGGGGTCTAGGCATGAACAAGGAGTCCAGTAGTAAAGTTAGAGACTGAGAAAATTATTTAGGTAATTTAGACTAACAGCCCATTTTTAGCCAAATCATATGCGTATTTTAAGCAGAAGCATTTCATCCCTAAAGAATTCTGCCTGGGCATCATATTTCTCTTTATCATGTTCGTAAACAAAAGATATGGATTCAATTAAATCAACATTTATTAAGTACCTACCATGTGCAAAGCATATAATAGGCACAAATATGAACATTTGTGTGTGAACAGTTATTTTAAACTGTTACTAAATATATATATATAATTTTATGCTATGCTTTTTCTTTCTTGATATCTTCTGACTTTTTCAATCTTTTCCCCTAACATGTAAATTATATTATAATGTAAATTTATTATACAGTATAATCTAAATGAAATGCCACTTGATAGGAGTTAAAATATAACAAGAAAAGGAAAAATCGAATTAGTAAACTCTCACATCTCATTTTAAGCATCCTAAAAACGAGATTTTTATAAACTGCTGAAGAGTGAATACGTAAGAGTGAGTACATAACCAACATAGAATTTGATATGTCTGCCTCAATTTGCCTGTATATTCTTAACAACGGGGGTAAAAAATTGCTTGGAAGCTTCATCATATGTCGAGGAAGTTGTATGAAAGCTACTCAAACCAGAAACTTTTCGTTTAGGAAAACTTGGACCAGACAGGAAACTCCTTGTATACTGAGAGATAATAATTACTCATATGCTTATTGGAACCCTAACTTTCTTCTTGTACTTTATGTCACTCTCATTGAACATGTATGTTTTAACCTAGCCAGATAACGCACAGGACTTCTAAAGTGTCAAGTATGCCCATCCACTTTCCATAGCTGAACATTAAATAAGTAAAGGAAATCCAAGTACAGGCTACTTTTGTGTTTGGATAGAGATTCAGAACAATTTACACACAAACATTAACAGTAGAATGTGCTGGATCAACATGTTTTAAGATGATGTGCTTGATCCACCTGAGAGAACTTCCTAGCTCAAGCAGTCAATTGCTCTTAAAAACAAACAAAAAAAACACCTAAAATGTCTAAAAAGTCATGTCTCTCCCCAATCTTAAACATACCACCACCCTGGAAACCTCCCTGGCTGTGACACGTGTCAACTACCAATGATCCACAAACAACTCTGTTGTACAAACACAGAGGCCCTAACAGTATTTCCATCGCTCACAGCCCTCTCTGCCATTTCCCTTTGTGCATCCCATGCCTTCCAGAGTTTACCAGTTACGGTTACACACACTTACAGGAAGAGAAACAAAAAGGTTTGAACCAATCAGTGAAGAGGATTCTTGAGACAGTGATAAAAAAAAAAAAGTAGCTACAGTTGTACCCTCCTTTACTCAACCACACATTCCTAAGACGTCGGGTGTAAATCAAATACAACAAAATATCCTCACCCTTTCCAAAGGACTGAAATTATTTCACAAACTATTTTTCTTAATATCTTGTTAATCTTTAATAGGCCACGGTTCCTGATGGCTTTAACTTTACATACACTTCCCATCAAAGACGTAGTGATCCACAATAACCTTTGAAATATGTAACTGAACTGAGGATACATTTTTACCGGTGACTCTTTTAGTAAAGTGTGGAAAAATCATTCTCTCTTGTTTGTTTAATATATCCTCATTTCTCCTGTACTTGATTTCCCTAATGTATGGCATAAAGCCAGGCATGATATTTTCAGCTAGTGTACTTAATCAGTGTATGATAAAACAGCATGAGGGAAAAGCTATGTCCAAGTGGTATAATGGGCTTGCTGATGCCACCTACTGTGCATTTTGTTTTCCCAAGGTGCCCCTCATAATTGACTAAAACAGAGTTCCTGAAGCCTGATCACATGATGAGTGCTGAAGGCCTCCAACTATGTTCAAATATCTCATGAAAAAACAAGAGATGCTAGAGACTGGCGTGGCGCGCTTGGCATTAGGAAGAAGGTGGTTCCCATCAGAGTGGCTGCCTTCAACAAATAAAGGAGGTGTTAATCAGAGTCTCTCCGGGGTTTTTTCTGTCACAACCAAACACATTACAGCAAGTGGTGACAGCAGGACAGAAAAAGGTTAACAAGAATGAAGTAGTTGGGACTCCATCCTGCTAGTGTGGGAAAGCTCCAGGCATGTCGAGAAAGTGAGAGGGTTTGGGCTCCAGACTCCAGGCTGCAAAAACAAAGACCCTTAGGAACATGGTAAAGGAAGAATCCAGAAGCAGAACAAGGTCATGAATGAGCCAAAAGCCATGGAGGATGAGCAGAGCCCGGCTATGGGCTTCCCAGCTAAGCTGCAAGGTTAGAAACATGAGAACAAAGCACGCTCACCTCTGGAGAAGCAACCAGGCTAGTGAAAGAGAGTGCAGAAGTCTCACCGGCCCTGCCTGCCAGGGTGACCTCAGACACAGTGACCACCACTGGCTTCTGATCAGATACTGGCTGGTGACACTGGCCCATTCACACCCCTTGACCTCTGTGATAAGTCTCCTGGAATGACTGCTAGAACTGTGTGTGGCCCCTCTTTTCTCTTCCTCGTCTCCAGGCCACTGCAATGACCAGTCATGTGAGATCAGGCCTGGGCCTCCCCCCAAGCCCCCCAATCTGTCCCTCAGAGCCAGCCCAGCTTCTGTCTTTCCACTTTGGGTAGCTTTTCTCACCAGCACAATGAGGGGCTTGGACCGGATTATCTTAAAAGTTCCTCCCAGGTCTAACATTCTGTGATTCCTGGATGTTACCAATTCCCAGAATCATAAAATTTAGAGTTGAAAGGAACTTCGGAAGTTGTCTATTCAACCTCCGGCTCAACCTAAACTAACCTAGCCAGAGCTAGTAAGTTCTGAAAGTTCTATGTAGTTGTTTCTGGCTGGCTGAATACAGCAATAATCAAAGCTTGAAAACCTTAACTATAAATAAGCATGACAAAAATATGTGTAAGATTTTTTAAACATCTAAGAAAAAGTTTGAAGGAGCCAATGCCCGTGGAGCAACATGTTCTATTGCTTAGAAGTTCATACCTAAGCAACACTTCCCAATCTCTGCATAATCTCCAGAGCATCTTGAAAAAGCACAAACGGTCTCAGAAAATTCTCCAAACAAAACTAATTTTCAATTTCTCATTAGGCTTGTAAGTTTATAAGACAGGATGATAGGATGGCACATCAAATAAAGTCTCACAAAGGAGAATAAAAAGTATTAAGGGGAAATACAGTGATACTTTGAAATGCAGTCAAGAAAAATCAAAAAGAATGTCATCTGTTCTTAAACAGTGTGTTTCAGTTAGTCAGCTGTTTTTCAAAACTAATTTTGATCTCTAATAATAAATATTCTCTCTACCTCTTCAAAACACTATTTTCTTAACAGGGTCTATGCCAACTATCATACTACAGATCTTGAAGAAATCACTGGTTGTATTTAAGAAACAAGCATTTAAAACAATAATATTTTCCATTGTGTCTTATTAATTACTTAAAAGTCATAAGTTTGCAAAACAAAACAAACCAAATAAAACAAAAGTCCTAAGTTCATCAATAAATAAGAAGAGCCATATTTACAGTTTGGAAGACATCAAATTCTCCCAAAATTAACATACAGATTTCATTAAGCCCATTCCAATAAAAATGCTGTTATTTCTTTTTTATGGAAATTAAGCTGATTCTAAAACTTATAAAGAAATTCAAAAGATCTAGAATAATTAAGACCGCTTTGAAGAACATACACTTAATATATTGCAATAGTAATTACGACCCTATAGTATTGACACAAGGATCCACATGGAATCACACAGAAAGTCCAGAAAAAGAAACATATAAACATGGTTACCTGATTTACAATAAAGGCCACACTGAAATTCAAAGGGGAAAATGAAAATATCTTCTTAATAAATGGTGCTGGATCAACTAGATATTCATATGGTGGTGCATGGGTGTGGGGGATGGACATGACTAAAAACCAGTCTTGACGCTGCCACACCAAACACAAAGAGACAGGTGTAAGACTAGTGGTTACCTTTGGGAAGTACAAACTGGGGAGAGGGACGTGAGGGTGCTTTTCAGGCGCTAGAATGTTATATAGTGACCTGGGGGGCCATCCCATGAATACATTAATCTCTATATTTAAAATTTGTGTACTATACGCATGTTCTACCTCAATAAAAATTTTAAATAAACACACAAGTAAACAAAGTTATCCCCCTGTGCTCCACGATGGCCCAAATCATGTCTTATTTACATATCTGCACCTTCCAGGGCCCAATACAATGCCTGCCCAGTGTTTGCTGAATTTAATTAAATTCGCCAGGTAGCTCCAACTATGTGATTTGGGTACAATATGTCTGAGTTGTCAAGAGCAGAACTCTAGCTGTGCGCTTTTGGCAGACTCCTTTTAAATCCCCAACGCATTCATATTTAAAATATCTGGCTTTTTTTCCCCCCCAAAAGAGGGAGATAGGAACATTTGCATATTGAAAACCAGTCCCATTTTCAGGGTTTAACAAGATTCAAATCAAAAAGGCAAAGGAAGAAAAACAAAGAAAGGTGCTGCCATGTGGTGCCCTAGCAAGCAGATGTTCATTAGGGCCCAGACACACAGATTACTATCACAATGTACTTATCTGCACACGCTATCATCAGACCACACAGTCAAATCAAATTTTGAAGGCTCAAAGGATGTGCACTGAAGAACATCCTGTACTGCTGAAACATGAATTTGAATTTTGTGACAGAGACAGAGGGGTAGAAAAGAACACCAGAGATCACCCACTGTCATTTTAAATCCTATTTATATAGTAAGAGATCATCTATTCTTTAAGAAAGCAATCAAAATCAACATTTAAGATTTCTACTATTAAAATGAAAATCTGAGGAACTATGACCAAAGAAGAAACATACCTTTTTTTCCAGTCTTTAGCAAATGAGACAACACAGAATACGCTTGTGATTATTTTTAGATAAAGAATTGTTTTGTGAGATATTCAAGAAATAGAAAAAGGTGGTTATATGTGATTTTAAAATATTAGTTTGGGGGAAGAAAAATGTAAACGGCTTACCGTTTCACTACCTCATATTTAAATTCTAATCTCATTAGGAGTACGCATTTGTCATCAAAATACTTTCTATTACGCTAATTATGTTCTCTTTTGTTCAAAGTATTACATCATGTCTGCACTTCTGTAACTACATTTATACATTGCCAAATAAAATTTTATTTTAAATTTCCATATAAAATTGGATAAGGAATCAGAAAGAAAATCTGATTCAAAGAGGCAATTGTAGTTAGCAAATTCTTAATCATAATCCGCAGCATTAAAAGGTAGTAAAGTTTTTGTTTTTTGTTTTGTTTTGTTTTGTTTTAGTCAAATTAAGTCAGACACACTTGGTCCCTGATTTGGGCCGAATGCAGTGGGAATAGCTTGTCTGCAACAATCACCCCAGTAGATCGACCAGGAGCACAACACACACACCCATAGCTGGTCAGAAGTCCAGAGTGACACCACTCTCCCAGTGCAGGAAGAAAAGTTGGGGGCAGGAACAGAGGAGAAGGGAAAAGAAGGAGGGAGGAGGGAAAAGGAGAAAAGAGAGTGAAAACACACTCTGAGATTGCCCAAACCCACGCACTTTATTCTCACCCATTTTCATTTTGCAGGCCCTTGGGTCTTGTCTAGCTCTTCACCCCAGAGTCAAGCCACAATCCAGAAACAAAATACCAGGGGTCCATGGTCTGAATCATCCTCTTAAGCACTGACTGTTCTGTTTTGACTTCCTCTCAGGGTTAGGATTCTTAACGTGTGCTCCACAGGCTGCCTCGGTAAAAACTGGAGGTGAAGGGGAATGTGCCACCATCAGATTCCCAAGGTTATGAGTTATGAGCCATTGTTGGACCAGGACTAGATGAAAATAAGAGAAGCGCTGGAACTGGACAGTTTGTTCTTTGTTGTTTTGTTTCATTTTTGTTCCCAGCCTCAGAAGCTGTTTGCTTGATTTGATGCTCAAGGAGAGCAAGGAAAGCTGGAAGGCTGTAATAATCGAGCCAGTGATGAGCAAGGGATGAAAAGCACTACTAGAAAGCTTTGGACCGTATTTTTTAAAGT